AGGAGGGAGGAGCACTTTGGAGAGACGGGGCGCTCTAGAGGGGTGAGGCACCCTGGGGGAGGGCGGGGTACCCTGGAGGGCAGGACACTGGGTAAGGAAGGAGCACCTTGGGGAGGGCGAGGTCTAGGACAAATCTGGTTGGAGGAAGGGACCCAGGTTCCCGGAGTAGGTTTTGTTGGGAGTGGGGAGGGGTCCCTTGCCTGCAGAGTCCGGGTCCCAGAGCAGTGCAGCACGCTCTGCTCCCCTCGACGCAGCTCGGCCGTGCTCATGGGTCGCACCCTGGGGTCCGACAGGAGGGCAGATGGTACATCCTGATGTCTTTATGGATTCCTGCCTCGCCTGGATGCCTCCTAGCCAACCTATACCCACCTGAGCACCACCTGGATGGGCGTTTCTGGCCCTTCTGGCCCCTGCTCCAGGCTCCTCGCGGGGTCCCTTTAGGCAGCAATGCGAATTAACACCCCAGCGCCCAGCGGTGAGCCGCCAGGTGCGGCGTTCAGGGCTCCCCAAACCTCTCTGAAGCTCTTCTTACCCATCGGGCGATCCGCGTTCCTCCATGTCGGGCTCTGCACACGGCGTTAGCTCCGCCCAAGTCTCCTTTCCCTTCCCAATACCCTCCCTTCTCCCCAACACTGGGACGGTCTACGCACATCTAATATTCCCACCCCCATCTTCCCATCCCAGGCAGCCATCCATCCGGAAAGGCTCCCGCCGGCCCAGAGCTAGCTAGTTAAAGATTTACTCATCCCCACCACGCAGTGGAGAAAGTCTCTCCCAAGCTAGGGGACCCCTAGCTAGGAATTTATGGAGTCTGAGGAGTCTTTGTTCTCAACCAGTCCCATCAGGAGGTACCCATGGGACCACCCAGACCAGCCTCCTCTGCACAGATGGGGATACAGAAGCAGGGACAGGAAGGACTCAGCCAAGGCCACAGAGCCAGCCTGTGCAGAGCATGAACCAGGCTCTTCCTACTCTTCACGGACCCCCACCCCCTCCCATTTTATAATCACCCCCCACCCAGTCGCTTGGGCTTTCCTCAGCTCCAGGCCTAGGGAGTGTAGGGACTTTGACAGACCGGAGTGCCCCGTCCAGGCACTAGGGAAGACCTGGCTGGGTTGAGTCTCTGAGCTGAGCTGAGAACAGGTTTCCAAGGACCTGGTTAAACATTTGGGCATCTGCCTCTCTAATGCCAAGGTCAATCCAAGGCCAGCACGATTGTTTAACTCTCTCCTGGTCTGGCTTATGAGAGCCGTAGAGATGTCTATGAGTGTGCTGGGGTGGGGCAATCGTTCATTCCGTGCCAGTCTCCATGCTGGGCACCAGGACAGAGGAATCATATGCAGGTCCTGCCACTTCCCAGCTCACAGTCTGGCTGGGGAGATGGAAAAGTACAATCCAGTGTGTAGGGCCTCTTGGGGGATTTGGGGGGGCGGGGAGGTGAGAATGGTAGGTGAGGCATTTCCAGGCAGAGGAAAGGTGTCAGGAGGACCAGGGTGGGGTGAGGAGATGTGTGTGACCTGGAGAGGTGATGTGAGGCTGCAGCCAGCCCACCAGGACACATCAAGGAGTCAGGGCTCACTCCTCAAGGAGCCAGGAAGCCATGAAATGTTACAAACAGGGACATAACACTGTCAGATTGTCTTTGCTATTACTATTGCCATTGTGGCTGTCGCTACACATTCTCTGGATATTTCTGCAAACCCCCTCCCCCTAAATACACATTAGGGCGAAAACCCTGAAAATCATCCCTTCTCAATGTAACACACTCTATACCACCACAAATGACAACCAACTATCAAAGCTACCCTACTGGGGAACGGGTTATCCTGGGTGGCAGTGAGCTCCCCAGGCACTGGAGGTATGCAAGAAAGAGCCCATAGACCTTTCGGTTATAGTAATACAGGGAGAGTTCTGTAGAGTAAAGAACCACTGCCCCCAGCTCTGCAGCTAACTTGCCACAGAGACTTGGCCTTTCTAAACCTGTTTCCTTCCTGTACAAAATAATTAATGATCCCCCTCCAATTTTACATGGTTGTTCTGAGATTTCAATGACACAGTGACACTCATAGATTGTAAAGAATTACCTAAAAGCAAAATAAAAATTCTTCCATAATCACTCAGATTCCTTTCAATCTATTTTTTTTTTTTAATCCTTGAGCCAGAGAGGACAAAAATTACTATTCTTGTTTTTCAGATGAAAACAATGAGGAAACAGGTAGGGAGGAGCAGTTGTCTAAGGAGAAAGCAGCTCTAAATGGCAGAACTGAGGTTTAAGCCCAGAACTGGGAGCTGTAAGTCCTGACGCTGTCTGTTGGGCAGGTGGCGTTTTTCAGGAGGTGATCCAGGAAGTGATCAGGTTGCTCCTTTAAATGTCCTTATACATGTTAAGGGACTACCAGTTATTTGCATCTTAGTGTACAGTGGTTTAATCAGATTGCTGTCCCTGCTTAAACCAGACTGATATGAGCCACACTGAAGGAATTTTGATAAAATCACAGACAGGAGAGGTGTGCATGGAAGGGTGTGGCGAGCTGGTTGGTGGGAACTTGTGCACAAGCCCTCCCCACCTGGATCAGAACGTGGACATCACCAGATGCCCACAGGCAGGAGCCAAGCCCGGATTCGGTTCTCCAACAGTGAGTGTGAACATCTTTGAGCATTCATGAGCACACTTGGGTGAAGCCTACTCTAATTGCCAGGCCTCTGGGTACTTGAGATACATGCATTTGTGAAGCCCACCGATAAACATCCTGTCCGGGTAGAGCTCACCCTCTAATGAGGTGGGAGAGGCAGACAATAAAATAAGCATGTGAATAATTTACATAGGCTGAGTGCAGTGGCTCACGCCTGTAATCCCAGCACTTTGAGAGGCCAAGGTAGGAGGACTGCTTGGGCCCAGGAGTTCGAGACCAGCCTGGGTAACAGTGAGAACTTGACTCTACAAAAAAAAAAAAAAAATCACCAAAAAATTAGTCAAGCGTGGTGGTGCGCGCTTATAGTCCCAGCTACTCAGGAGGCTGAGTCAGGAGGATTGCCCAAGCCCAGGAGGTCGAGTCTGTGGTGAGCCATGATCATGCCACTGCATTCTACCCTGGGTGACAGAGTGAGATCATGACTCAAAAAACAAAATTACATAGCATGTTAAAAGTTGATAAGTGAGCCGGGTTTGGTGGCTCAGCCTGTAATCCCACACCTTTGGGAGGCTGAGGTGGGTGGATTGCCTGAGCCCGCGGGTTTGAGACCCGCCTGGGCAGCGAGACCTCATCTCTACAATAAATCAAAAATCAGCTGGGCATAGTGGCACATGCCTGTAATTCCGGCTACTCCAAAGGCTGAGGCGGAAGGATCACCGGAGCCCAGCAGGTCCTGACTGCAGCTGCGGTGGCTGGGAGCAGCCACTGCACTCCAGTCTGGGCAATCGAGTGAGACTCCAACTCAAAAAAAAAAAAAAAAGTTGATAAGTGCTATTAAAAAAAAATCAATCAGGGTAGGAGTTGTTGAGAGTTGGGTTGAAGATACTGCTGTAGTTTAAGTAGCATGGTCATATGGTCATAGAATACATAATTGAGAAGGTGATTTTTGAAGAAAGGCTTTAAGGAGAGTTAGTCTAGCTATTATTTGGGGAAGATCACCCCATGAGAATAACTATCCAGTGCAAAGGTCCTGAGAATAACTATCCAGTGTGCATGCCACATGTGTTCAAGGAATGGAAAAGGCTAGAGTCTGGAGTAGAGTCAGCAAGGGGAGTGTGGGAGACAAAAGATCCAGGGGAAATAGGGGGCCAATCACATGCAACCTTGTGGGCCACTTAGAGAACTTCAGCTTTTATCTGAGTTAATAACAGAGATGATGAGAAGTGGTCAGATTTGGGATGTACTTTTACTACAGAGTCAACAACACTTACTGAAAGATGGAGCAAGGTATATAAGAGGAATCAGGACAAATGTGAAGAAACATCAAAGATTTTTTTTTTTTTAATTGGAGTCTCTGTTGCTCAGGCTGGAGTGCTGTGGCATACTCACAGCCACCCCAGCGTCGACCTGCTGGGCTCTGGCGATCCTTCTGCCTCAGCCTTCCAAGTAGCCGGAACAACAGGCACGTGCTACTTTGTGCCCGGCTAGTTTTTTATTTTATTTAGAGATGAGGTCTTGCCAAGTTTCCCCGGGTGCGTCTCGAACTGGGTTCAGGCAATCCACTCGTTTCAGCCTCCCAAAATGCTAGGATTACAGGCTGAGCCACTGAGCCCAGCCCAAACACATCTTAAACTGTTGAAAACCACAGACAAAGAAAAGACCATGAAAACAGCCACAGGGAAAAATACATAAGCTTCACAGCAACAAGCATGACACTGACAGCTACTGTTGAGTAGAAATTACAGACACCCACAGATGAGAGAATGGCATCTTCCAAGTGCTGAAATTAAAGAGAAAAAAAATCAACCTAGAAGGATATTCCCAGCAAAAGTATCCTTCACAAAGGTCAGTAAAATAGACATTTTTGAACAAACAGAAGCTGAGATAATTCACTTCCGGTTGATCACCACTATAAGAAATACTAAAGGACAATTTTTTAAAATATTGAGTAAAAGTGACTCTGTATGAGATAATGGAACTAATGAAAGGAATAACGAACACCAGAAGGAATAGGGTTTATGTCAAATCATTTTCACTGTTTAAAAGAAAGGCATACCATTTTTTTTGCTTCAGTTATGATATATACAGAATCACTTCATGACATTAGCATTAGGGACAGGAGGGGTTAAGCTGTAGAATTGTGGACCTGACTCTCCAGCTGTTGGCAAAGAGAGAATACACTAATTTAAGGTAGATTGTAATAGGTCAGTGATTATATGACATCTTTAAATTAACTGTTATCAAAATAAAAGAATTAAAACTAGAAAGTTAATAGTAGAGAATGATGAATTAAAATTACTTGAAAAATCAACAAGGCATGGTGGCATGTGTTTGTAGTCCCAGCTACTTGGGAAGCTGAGGCAGAAAGATCACTGGAGCCCGGGAGGTCTAAACTGCAGTGAGACCCCCAACTCAAACAAACAAAACAAACAAACAAAAACTTGATTGATTCAAAAGAAAACAAAAATGATAAATACAATCATAAAGAACAAATTTGGAAGTAACAAAATAAAAGTAAACTCAATTATATCAGTAAGTACACTAATCGTACATGGGCTAAACACATCAAGTAAAAGACAAAGATTGTCAGACTGGATACTAAAAAACAAAATGTTTCTCTGGTTTTTTGTTTGTTTGTTTGTTTTTGTTTTTGAGTTGGAGTCTCACTCTGTCACCCAGACTGAAGTGCAGTGGCATGCTCCCGGCCATTGCAGCCTCAACCTGCTGGGCTCCAGCGATCCTTCCGCCTCAGCTTTCCAAGTAGCCGGAACTACAGGCGTGCACTACCATGCCCAGTTAATTTTTGATTTATTATAGAGACAAGGTCTCGCCAAGTTGGCTGGGCTAGTCCCGGACCCGTGGGCTCAGGCAATCCACTCGCCTCGGCCTATGTTTTGTTGTTTAAAAAATAAAAGCCCACTTCAAATTTAAGGAA